CTTTCTTTATGGTCCAACTCTTACATCCATACATGACTACTGGAAAAACCATAGCTTTGACTATACAGACTTCTGTTGGCAAAGTAATGTCTCTGCTTTTAAATATGCTATGTTGATCATAGCTTTTCTTCCAAGGAGCAAGCATCTTTTAATTTTATGGCTGCAGTCACCATCTGCAGTGATTTTGGAGCCAAAAAAAATAAAGTTTGCCACTGTTTCCATTGTTTTCCATTTACTTGCTGTGAAGTGATAGGACCAGATGCCATGATCTTGGAGCCAAAAAGAATAAAGTTTGCCACTGTTTCCATTGTTTTCCCATTTATTTGCTGTGAAGTGATAGGACCAGATGCCATGATCTTAGTTTTCTGAATGTTGAGGTTTAAGCCAACTTTTTCATTCTCCTCTTTCACTTTCATCAAGAGGCTCTTTGGTTCTTCTTCACTTTCTGCCATAAGGGTGGTGTCCCCTGCATATCTGAGGTTATTGATATTTCTCCCAGCAATCTTGATTCCAGCTTGTGCTTCATCCAGTCCAGCATTTCGCATGATGTACTCTACATAGCAGTTAAATAAGCAGAGTGACAATATTCTTTTCCATTTGGAACCAATCTGCTGTTCCATGTCCAGTTCTAACTGTTGCTTCTTGACCCGCATACAGATTTCTCAGGAGGCAGGTAAGGTGGTTTGGTATTCCCATCTCTTGAAGAATTTTCCACAGTTTGTTGTGATCCACACAGTCAAAAGCTTTGGCATAGTCAATAAAGCAGATGTTTTTCTGGAATGCTCTTGCTTTTTCAATGATCCAACGGATGCTGGCAATTTGATCTCTGGTTCCTCTGCCTTTTCTAAATCCAGCTTGAACATCTGGAAGTTCATAGTTCACGTACTGTTGAAGCTTGGCTTGGAGAATTTTGAGCATTACTTTGCTAGTGTGTGGGATGAGTGCAATTATGCAGTAGTTTGAACATTCTTTGGCATTGCCTTTCTTTGGGATTGGAATGAAAACTGACCTTTTCCAGTCCTGTGGCCACTGCTGAGTTTTCCAAATTTGCTGGGATATTGAGTGCAGCACTTTCACAGCATCATCTTTTAGGATTTGAAATAGCTCAACTGGAATTCCATCACCTCCACTAGCTTTGTTCGTAGTGATGCTTCCTAAGGCCCACTTGACTTCACATTCCAGGATGTCTGGCTCTAGGTGAGTGATCACACCATCGTGGTTATCTGGGTCATGAAGATCTTTTTTGTACAGTTCTTCTATGTATTCTTGTCACCTCTTCTTAATATCTTCTGCTTCTGATAGGTCCACACCATTTCTGTCCTTTATTGTGCCCATCTTTGCATGAAATGTTCCCCTGTTATCTCGAATTTTCTTGAAGAGATTTCTAGTCTTTCCCCTTCTATTGTTTTCCTCTATTTCTTTGCACTGATCACTGAGGAAGGCTTTCTTATCTCTCTCTGCTATTCTTTGGAACTCTGCCTTCAAATGGGTATATCTTTCCTTTTCTCCTTTGCCTTTAGCTTCTCTTCATTTCTCAGCTATTTGTAAGGCCACCTCAGAAAGCCATTTTGCCTTTTTGCATTTCTTTTTCTTGGGGATGATCTTGATCACTGCCTCCTGTACAATATCACAAACCTCCATCCATAGTTCTTCAGGCACTCTATCAGATCTAATCCCTTGAATCTGTTTGTAACTTCCACTGTATAATTGTAAGGAATTTAATTTAGGTCATACCTGAATGGTGTAGTGGTTTTCCCTACTTTCTTCAACTTAAGTCTGAATTTGGCAATAAGGAGTTCATGATCTGAGCCACAGTCAGTTCCTGGTCTTGTTTTTGCTGACTGTATAGAGCTTCTCCATCAGCCTCTGCGATGTCCCACACTGTCTGTGGAGCATGTTTCTGTCTATATAAACCTACTTCTTATTTATCACTTTGTCTCTCACTGAATTCTTTCTGAGATGAAACATCAAGAGCCTGAGCTTCATTAGGTCCTGAAACCAGATGCCAACCACTAAGGTCTTTACTCAATTTTTAACCTGTAAGACATAATTCCAAAATGTAGCTCTCTTATATCTCCCACTTCCAAGTTGTAATATGAAGCCTAACTTTAACCAGGACCTGCACTGATACATAATATATTGCTACACAAAGAAGACATTATTCATTAATAACTAGGCTGAAAAGGTAGATAGAATATGATATTAATTGCATTTTTTAAATGAAATGAAAAAAAGTGACTGTGTAAGCTGCCCAACTCATATTATTTCCAGTGAATTAATAAGACAGCATATACTGAGCCATACTTAAGTACATTTGCTTAATCTTCTCAAAGGTATACAGAAAAAATAGTGGTATGAACTGATGAAATCCTTCTTCAACAGCACTTACATAGTTTTATTATTTCTGTTTATATGATAACTAGTGTTGCTTTATAATCAGGTATGAACAGGGCTCTTCCATTCTTTCAAGGCCATACCACACAGCATGCGGGATCTTAGTTCCCTGCTGGACAGTGGTTAAGAATCCATCTTGCAATGCAGAGGACGTGGGTTCAATCCCCAGTCAGGGAATTAAGATCTCACGTGTCACGTGCACCCCAATGTTCATTGCAGCACTGTTTATAATAGCCAGGACATGGAAGCAACCTAGATGCCCATCAGCAGACGAATGGATGAGGAAGCTGTGGTACATATACACCATGGAATATTACTCAGCCATTAAAAAGAATTCATTTGAATCAGTTCTAATGAGATGGATGAAACTGGAGCCCATTATACAGAGCGAAGTAAGCCAGAAAGATAAAGACCATTACAGTATACTAACACATATATATGGAATTTAGAAAGATGGTAACGATAACCCTATATGCAAAACAGAAAAAGAGACTCCGATGTATAGAACAGACTTGTGGACTCTGGAAGAAGGCGAGGGTGGGATGTTTCAAGAGAACAGCATCGAAACATGCATATTATCTAGGGTGAAACAGATCACCAGCCCAGGTTGGGTGCATGAGACAAGTGCTCGGGCCTGGTGCACTGGGAAGACCCAGAGGGATCGGGTGGAGAGGGAGGTGGGAGGGGGGACCGGGATGGGGAATACATGTAAATCCATGGCTAATTCATTTCAATGTATGACAAAAACCACAAAAAAAAAAAAAAGAGAGAGATTTATCCTCACTCTTTTCCCAGCCAAGGAATTACATGCCTCAGTGGGAATGTAAATTGTCAGATGACTATAACTGTATTTGTCTGAGTAACAAATAAAATGAAGCAACAATCTTATCACAGATTAAAAAAAAAAACAAAAAATACTAGTTCACTGTTAGAATTATAGTTTATAATAATAATATTTCACAAGCCAATACCATATAGAATAATGTCTTAATAAACTAATAAAGAAATAACATGCTTCAAACCAAAAAAAAAAAAAAGATCTCATGTGTCACAGAGCAATGAAACCCAAGTGCCACAACAACTGAGCTGGCATGACACAATGATGATACCAAGGGCTACAACTAAGACCCAAGGCAGCCAAATAAATAAAAACAGTGATAATAAAGGCCACACAACACAGCATGTGGGACTTTAGTTCTCCAACCAGGGGTTGAAGCTGTGCCCTAGGAATGCAGCATCTTACCCACTAGACCACCAGGGAAGTCCCAGGGCTCTTCCATTCTTAACTCATTCTTGGACCCCAACCCCCTTCCCCAACTCTATGCACTCAAAGATTTTAAGCTCTTTCTTAATAAGAACTGTGTCTGGTATAGGCTATAGCCTTTGGATCCACCCACGCTGTGCACCTTAATGTTAGCAGAATGGATTATGTGAGTGAACACATCCTCACACAACCCCATAACGTTAGATAAAATTCTCTTAATAGTTTCCTAAAGCACTTAGGCCATTTTCAGTTGAACACCAAAGATACAGAATTGATTCCTATCACTGATTTCTTGGTTGTTTTTTTTAAGCACAATTCTAACCATAAATAGTTTAACACTCAGTTTGTTTATCTCCCTGACTTACTCTTTCAGAGATAAGTGAGAGAAAGCCTCAGCTATAAGCACCTATTTGATTACTTAAGAAGGCACAATGTTAGCCACAGCAAATGACTGCTTGAGAAGACAATTCATGTTAATAGCAACAGAGACAGAGACTAGTGTGTTAACTTTCCAACTTATACTCAAAAGACCTTCTTCCACCTTCGTTTTCTCTAACTACTAATTGGATAATCAGAGAGTCTGTATGGGAGGGAGAGGAGAGCTTTGCTCAGTATCACAAAGATTCCTTCCAGAAGGGATGGCTTGGGCTGACATCTTTTTAATGTGCTTTCTTTTTTGGCCTAATACACTTTATTTCTCCTTTTGCAGCTATGAAATGTCCTTGCATGCAGAGTTACAGAATACAACTCGTGTAAGGAAATAATAAAATAGTAAACACTAGAAGCTAACAAAACAAGTAATAAAACATGCTGAATCATGGTATATTATCTTAGGCATATTTTACCATAATAATAAAAAAAAAATGTCAGAGTAACCTGCAAAGAAAAAAGACTAACACTGTGAGACAGCACAGATGTGTCTGTTACAACTGCATAATGGGAGCCAGGTGAAGGGGGATTCCAACATCCTGACATAGGCACCAAAGAAATTAAAGCATCAAAAACAAACAAACAAAGTCAGACATTAAAAGGGAGGAATTCTGCATGCCATGGTAAAGCTGATTCTTTTTTACCAAACACACACACACAGAGAGAAAGTAAAATGTCAAAATCATTTCCATATCCCTTGAATCACGTGTCAAATTACTCTCCTTTTAATGTATCCATTACCCATGGTATACAAGAAACCCTCCCTTGAATATAAGAATGCACCGGAGAAAAGGTATTCCAAAATGCAAGATTATGTAGTGGACAAACACGACCATCCAATGTGGCACCATAGCCTAAGCACACTTGTCTTAGACGAGAGCTGGGCTGCAGCGATGGTTCACACTCTCCTTACCTAAAGGAATGTGAAAAGGCTTGCAATCTGCAAGAAGCCAGAGTAAGCATTAAAAAAGAAAGGAAGTTCTGATAAATCTAAAACAATTAAATAACCTACTTTTTAAGAGCTGTGTAAAGTTTTAACTGAATTCTAAAGGGCTACACAATCGGGAGTTAGCACAGAAAGAAAAGAGAAGTATATATAATGGTCAAAAGGGTTTAAGAGAGCTGTGTTTATTACATTGTGTTGAAATGATAATAGTCCAAATACAATGAGCAAATCATTGGGTGTTTTTGGTACAAAAAGACCAATTAACCAAACTTATTCAACCAACAAAATTCTGGTTGTAAAATCTACTTTCCCCACAAAAAGAAAACACAAGGTCATGCATCTGAAGGGTTTAAAAAAAAAAGAAAACAAAACACATAAATCTTGCATGCCAACAGAAGCACAGACAATTTAATCCACATTTGTCATTTTTAGCACTATTTTAATCCACGTGGGGGGTGGCCTGAGGTTACTGGTGGACACAAAAGCACTCTGAAGTGGTTTTATCAAAATTGCCAAGGAAATTCTGCAAACACATTGAAAATAAAATGCAAAATAAAAAGCAATAGCGCCAAACAAGATTTTGGCCTGGGCATGAACATAGATGGTACAGAGCAGTACATAAATGAGTATGTGACAAGCACACCATGGGCTAAAGATGTACCACCCGGAAGTGAAGGCAGGACTCGGTGCTCCCGGGCTCATCCCCACCAGACACCAGGCTCTGCTCACAACCACAGGTCTGCAGCCACATACTTACCCCATATGATCAAGAGGGGCTAAAAGGAGGAAAGGTCACAACCAGAATTTTTCAACAACTTTAAATGTATTCATAAGATAATCAGTTTGAAGGCTATGCCTAGAAGGATTTAGGGATGCATTTCAGGTCCTGGTTTGAAGGAGGGCTCTTCCTCACTCAAGCAGGCGGGGAGTCCAACATCAGCCAGTACCAGGCAGGAAAGAAATGCAATCACGATAACAGATTTTAATCTGCCTCATCTTAATTAACCAAGGAAAAATGAGAACGTACTTCACATCTTCCAGCTTTTTGGTGATGACAGAGCCAACAGACGAAAAAGCAGCTGAAGCCTTCTGTCCGGCCTGAGATAAGGTTTCAGAGGTCTTCTTGTACCTATATTAAATCATAAAAGAACAGAGCAAAGAAAGTAAGCTAACCTTTCCAATATCCATTATGTGGTGACAGAGGATGAGATGGTTAGATGGCATCACCAACTCAGTGGACACACATGTGTGCGTGCCTTCAATTGTGCCCAACTCTTTGTGACCCTATGTAGCAACAAACTCTGGGAGATAGTGAAGCACAGGGAAGCCTGGAATGCTGCAGTCCATGGGGTTGCAAAGAGTAGGACATGACTTAGCAAGTGAACAACAACAATCTTTTTAATATCCATTACGTAGAGTTCAGTGATCACTACCTCTTGGAGAACTCTCAAGAAAAAAAAAAAACAGAACATCCAAAATTCTTCATGACTGCCAAGTCAACATCATCACATCATCTTTTACTTAACCACCATTCCAAACACAACCTTCTGCAGCACCCTGGGACAGCTAGAAAGTCCTGTAAAGGCAAGGCTGAAGGAATCTGGGTAAGAGTTAAAAATGGGCCAAGATCAAAATGGGCCAGAGGTTAAATGAAACTATGTCTTTAATTTTTTTTTCCTTTTTCACTTAAGCTAAATAAAAAACAAAAATGAAATCAAATTCCTCACATTCCTTTCACAACTTATTTCCTAAAAAGGGACCAGAAGCAAGGTGGGATTCAGGAGTACTTTTTAATCACCCAAATCAATTTGGGGCAACATAAAGAGATTTTTCAGTTTTCCCTATATGTAGAGTTACCAAATAAGGACTGGTGCATTCTCAACAGGGTACGTAAAAGGTAACAACACTTCAAATGACTCGAGTGGGACATTTGCTGTAGCACAAAAGCAGAAAATTTACCACCTCCCTCCTCCCATCTACGCAGGGGTTAGTGAAGGGAAAAACTAGACAAAGGAAAATGGTTCTTACCCCAAAGAGGTTAACATCCCCACACTGCAGAAAGGGGTGTTCAGGCATTTTTACTTACCTCGTCAAGATCAAATACCGAAAAAAAGAAAAAGACAAAACGTTTCAGGTGATACAAGAAATGGCGTGCTGCATGTTCTCCTGCTGCCTACTTATATGGATGGAAAGGGAACCAAGCGGGTGGGTACCCCCCGTACTGTCATGTCAGGACGCAGTCAGCCTTGGTGCTGCTGGTCACCAGCTCCGCAGACGGGACTGCATAGGGAACACCGTTCGCAGGCTCGGGAAACAGAGCTGCATCTTGGTAACACTCTATCAAAACCGTGGGACCAAAAAAGACCAGAAGACTACGGAGTGGTCCTCTGCCACTGGTACACACCAGAGACGGTGACCTGAGAGAGTCTCGGGTCATGTATAGAGCAGGGTTAAACAAAAATAAAAAGACTCTGTACTTGGCCAGATCTTAGTTCAAACAGTGCCTCCAGACTCTGAGAGATTTGTGACCTCGACACTGATCTGATCCTGTTTCCTTATCTACGGCTATCTCACTACCCACTCTACTGGGTTATTCTGAGGACCAAGTGACTCATGTATATATCTGGTAAGTCAGTATATAACATTTTAAGAGCTTAGATTTTATTTCTTCAACTCACATAGGAGGCTGGTTTTCTCTCTATACCCTAGAACAATCCAAAAGACCAGTTAGGGAAGACTCAGATACACTTGAGAACGGGGGTGGTGGGGAAGGTTGCCCTGTGCAGTATAGACAAAAGCTGCAGAAACCTCCTCGGTCTCTTTCCACCCCTCCCTGCTTCCAGACAAAAACAGTAAAGTGTCCCCTAGGTTCTCTAGAAAAAGGTAGGGTCAAGGGCACATACGCAGATGTAGCTGTCACATCTTGCCACCCTTTGGCAATGTTCTGTTTTAGTTCCTGTAGTGAATTGATCCCAAGTTTCCGCTTGATCTCCGCTAGGTGCTTCTCTTTTGCTGCTAACACTTGAGACAGAGTCTGGATTTCTTCTTCCACCTGTGAGGAGTGGGGTTGGGGTAGGAATAAAGTCAAAGAGTTAAGATGATGTGCCCAAAATTATACTCAAAATTTTAGTCATTTTAAAATATTTTGGATTCATTTCTCTGCTTCTTTTAAAGCAATATAATATGTTAAGCAAACGGGTTGCTTGTTGATCTCTCCTGTAAAGCTGCTTTTCTCTCTTCTCTGTATTTCAGTCTTGAGTTGTTCTCAGTCTCTTCCCTGTTCCTATACTTCCTTACTCAGTTATGTCACAGAGGTGCAGGGTTCAAACCTTTACACAGATAATATTCAAATTATTCTAGCAGCTACTCTCCTGACTGCTGGGTCTGCATTTCCAGCTGAACATTGATGCATGAATGCCCATAAAAACTCACATTTATGTATTAAGTTAAACTAATCTGAAGTGAAAAGTGAAAGTGTTAGTTGCTCAGTTGTGTCCAACTCTTTGAAACCCCATGGACTGTAGGCCACCAGGCTTCACTTGTCCATGGGATTCTCCAGGCAAGAAGACTGGGGTGGGAAGCCATACCCTTCTCCAGGGGTTCTTCCTGACCCAGGGATCGATCACACAAACAATCTGAATTCCCACCAAAATACACACAACCATGCCAAATCAAAACACAGCCATATTGCATACTTCATATAAGTTTATGCATGCATGCAGGCTAAGTCCCTTCAGTAGTGCCCGATTCTTTATGACGCTATGGACTGTAACCCACCAGACTCTTCTGTCCACAAGATTCTCTAGGCAAGAATACTGGAGTGGGTTGCCATTCCCTCCTTCAGGGTATCTTCCCAATCCAGGGGTCGAACACATGTCTCTTGTGTCTCCTTTATTGGCAGGTGGGTTTGTTTTTGTTTTTGTTTTACCACTACACTACTGGGAAAGCTCCATATGAGTTTATACTTTCAATATAAATCACAGTTCATACTGTCAATCTTTGTACCTGTCAAAGTCACAGGCATAAATAAAACACACTCTCTCCCAGAGTCCTGCAGAAATGTGGGCCCCTCTGATGCTGACTGACCAACCTCAGCTTGATGGTTAGAAATGGGCTCCTGACCCATCAAGTGGCTACTAGCCAGTGAATTGCCTGGTGTGCCAAGGGATGCTCGAATAATCAGTCTCATTCAGGAATGTAGTTTGAGAAACTAAGATCACATTGGGAGGAGAAGCTGAAAAGACTTGGATAAAGAAGCCCTGAAGGACAGGTGGGGAACAGCGAGATTATGAGATGTTGAAAGTGAAAGTGAAGTTGCTCAGTCGTGTCCGACTCTTTGCGACCGCATGGACTGTAGCCTACCAGGCTCCTCAGTCCATGGAATTCTCCAGGCAAGAGTGGAGTGGGTTTCCATTTCCTTCTCCAGGGGATTTTCCCAACAGAAGCTTAAATATACTTGAGGAGGCCAAAACTATAAACAGAAGCTATGAAGAAAAAAAAAAAATAAAGACAGTAGTGGCAAAGGCTCAGCTAGGAAAACAAGGGGAAAAGGCAGACCCACAGAGAGAAGCAGACACCCAGGGGAAGAGATTTTGATCCCAGAAGTCGAAATACTCAGGTCCCTGAAGTATAGTTGGCCTTCCGTATCCACAGGTTCCACATCCACAGACGCAACCAACTGCAGATTGAAAATATTCAGGGGAAAAAAAGTTCCAGAAAGTTCCACAAAGCAAAATCTTGAAACTGCCATGTGCTGGCAATTATTTACATAGTATTTACATGGTATTTACATAGCATTTACATTGCACTAGGTATTATAAGTAATCTAGAGATTATTTAAAACATATGGAAGAACGTGCAAAAGTTATATGCAAATATTATACCATTTTATACAAGGGGCTTGAGCATCTGTGGATTTTGATATTCACAGAAGTCCTGGAACCCACTCCCTGCAAACACTGAGGGACGACTGCATATTCATTAATATTCAAGACCCTCAGATGGAAGCTTCTCTTATGCTTATTGCAAAGCCATATTTCAGTCTTGACCTACACAATACTTCTATGCATTCAAAGACAGCACGGCCTTTAAAAACAACATAGAGTATTGTTAAGCGAACTGAGAGCACGCAACAAAAGGAAAGAAGAATAAATCCAAAGTGATGTGGCTGCCCAAAAAACCCCCAAATAACATACTCTTAGATGGCATTAATTAGAATACAGGCCCAGAACAAAGATAATCATCCATGCTTATAAGACTCTGGGCTTCCCTGGTGGCTCAGATGGTAAAGAAGCTGCCTGCAATACACGAGACCCGTGTTCGATCCTTGGGTCAGGAAGGTATCCTGAAGAAGGCAATGGCAACCCACTCCAGTACTCCTGATTAGAAAATTCCATAGACAGAGGAGTCTGGTGGGCTACATGGGGTCCACATACACAAAACTCTCTACATGAATCAAGAAAAATGGAATAATGAGTAGAAAATTTACTACAAAGCTATGATAATCAAGATTGTGTGGTAGGCTTGAGAGTCCAGAAATAAACCCATACATTTATGGTCAACTGATTTTCAAAAAAGATACCAAGCAATTCAGTGGAAAAGAATCATTTTATTCCACAAATGGTGCTAGGACAACTGAATTTCCATATGTACAAGAATGAAGTTGGACCCCTAAGTCAGACCATATGTATTAAGATGGATCAGAGAAATATAAGTAAAAGAGCTAAACTAAAAAACTTTAAAAAGAAAATAGAGAGGTAAATCAAAATAATCTCGGATTAGGCAACATCTCTTAGATATGATACCTCAAGCATGAAAACCAAAAAATAAACCAATATCATCAAATTTTAAAACTGATGTGCTTCAAAGGATACCATCATAAAAGTAAAATGACAGCTAACAGAATTGGAAAAAAGTTTCCAAATTACAAATCTGACAAGGGCCCAGTATGCAAAATACATTAAAAAACATAGCTCAATAATAGAAAAGCAAATATCCAATTAAAATGGATAATAGATTTAAATAGACATTCCACCGAAGAAATATATAAATGACTAATAATCATATGAAAAGATCACCCATACCATTCATTCGTAATTAGAGAAGTTCAAATAAGACACTACTTCATCCCTAGTAGTACGGTATTCAATAATCAGTAAGACAAACAATACCAATAAGACAAATAATATCAAGCACTGACAAGGGTGTAGAGAAATTGGAACCCTCATACATTGCTGACTGGAATGTACAATTGTACAGTTTGGCAGCAAAATAGCATGACAGTTCCTCAAAAAGTTAAACATGGAGTTGCCATATGACCCACAAATTTCATTCCTAGGTATAAAACAGGAGAACTGAAGGCATATGTTCACCCAAAAACCTGTACATGAACGTTCAGAGCAGTATTATGCATGAAAGCCAAAAAGTAGAAACAGTCTAAGTGTCCAACAGCTGATGAATGGATAAACAAAATGTGGTGTATACTCACACAATAGAATATTATTCAGCCATAAAAAGGAATGAAGTACTGATAGGTACTACAACATTGATGAACCTTGGAAACATTACATTAAATGAAAGAAGCCTGTCACAAAAGACCACATGTTGTTTGATTCCATTTATAAGAAATGCCCTGAACAGGCAAATTCATAGAAATAGAAAGTAGATTAGTGTTTGCCAGGGACTGGGGAGAGGGAGGATTGGGGTGAACACTAGAGGGAACAGGATTTCTTTTGAGGGTGAGGAAATGTTTTAGAATTAGATAGTACTGATACTTGTATAAACTTGTGAATATACATAAACCAATGAACTATACACATTAAAAGAATGAAATCTGATATAAATTACATCTCAAAAAGAAGTTAAAAAAATGGATGGAGGAGATTTTTATCTCTTAATTTCTACAACTATTTCAAGCAGTAATTCTAAGGTAAAAATAGAAAATTATTATGTTTTAAATGTAAATGATTTTATTACATATAATTATTAGGATAATCATTATCATATTTTATTATGATATCATAACCTTATATATGATGGGCTTCCATGGTGGCTCAGTGGTAAAGAATCTGCCTGTGATGGAGGAGCCACAGGAGATTCAGGTTCGATCCTTGGGTCAGGAAGATCCCTTGAAGAAGGGAAGGCAACCTACTCCAATATTCTTGCCTGGAGGATCACATGGACAGAGGAGCCTGGCAGGCTCAAGTTCATAGGGCTGCAAAGAGCTGGATATGACTGAAGAGACATAGCACACAAGTATGCAAAGTAAGAATCTATCTTCCATATCTCATGGAGTTTTCATAAAAATTGCATAAACTTCTGATTGAGTGTAAATACTATGCAAATAAAAGTGCAAATGCACACGCATCAGAGTTCATGGGGACCTGGACACAAGACCCAATGTTGTAATGTAAGACCTTTGACCTTAATCTTCATAATTTTGGATTAGGCAATGGTTTCTGACAAGTAACAACTGAGGCACAAGTCACCAAAGGAAAAATAAATTCAACTTCCTCAAAATTAAAAACCTGTGTGCTTCAAAGAGTGAAAAGAAAAACCCACAGAATGGGAGAACGTGTTCACATAGCGTATGTCTGATAACTTCACTTGTTAAATAATATTACATAAGCTGTTGGGAGATTCAGATCTCTGTTTCCTCCTCCGCCAAACCATAAAAAAAAGCAATACCTGCCTCATAACATTGTTATGAGGATTAATGAGATAATGACTGTGAAGAGTTCAGCCACCCATGCAGCAATAGTCTGTAAATGTTAGTTGCTATTACTATTAAGTTAATATCATTGATAATGAAATAATTATACTGAGGGCTGCAACGATTTGGAAAAACTGTTCTCTCATATACTATGAGAAATCTTCTGGCTAGCGTTTTGGCCTTGTTGGTGTACATGGTAATGACTGTGTTCTAAACTCCCAGTAAGCCCAGGGATTCTATTAATACTTCTAGGAGTTTATTCTAAAGAATTAATTAAAGGACTTCCCTGGTGGCACAGTGGATAGGAATCTGCCTGCCAATGCAGGGGACATAGATTTGAT